AGCCAATATTTCTTCACTAGACAAGCAAAACTTGCTACATAAGCTCAGAAGATGTGTCTGCAAAAATAAGACATGTCATGAGAACATAGACAGGGGCGGAGCAGAACAGAGTTTTCCGTAGAAATAACACTTAAGCAAAGTTTCAGTGTTTGTAAAAGAACTTTCCAGGCATACAGAACATTAAAAAATGCAGGCAAGATAGTTCTCAGGTTAGTTGAGAAGTAACAGAAAGATAGATAAACATTGAATAATATGACGTGATGCAGAAGAGAGACAATTGCAATAATGATACTTTGGAAGACATGGAAGTCTCTATTTTTTTCAAATCATCCTGCTACATTTGGCTCTGTCATTTTTTTTTTTTTTCATGTGACCAATTCCTAGGTAAGGAAATGAAAGGAAACACAATTAGAGTGGTTTGGGAGAAAGCAGAGAAGGCAAAATTAGAAACAAGTGTATTCAACTTTAACCACTACACTATCACACCGGGCCCTTTTTTAAAAAAGATTTATTTATTTTTATTGAAAGGCAGATATACAGAGAGGAGGAGAGACAGGAAGATCTTCCATTCAATTGTTCACTCCCAAAGTGACCTCAACAGCTGGAGCTGAGCCAATCCGAAGCCAGGAGCCAGGAGCTCTTTCGGGTCTCCTACACAGGTGCAGGGTCCCAAGGCTTTAGGTCATCCTCAACTGCTTTCCCAGGTCACAAGCAGAGAGCTGGATTTTCCACTGGTCACTCAATACCATGTCAGTTAACTCCATGATGTTGTAAATTGTTGTTGATGTTATGTTGTGGCTTTTCATTGAAGGGAATGATATTCTGCCAGCTCTACTTTCAGATCAGCGATGGACTCCCAAGGAAACTTTTGAACCTATGTGGACAATAAGAGGCTGGACTCTATGCATGGTTCATGCTCGCAATGAAGGAATCAGGACTGGATATGAACTGTACTACTGCAGCAATGTGGAGGAATCCAACATGTGGGTAGGGCATGGGGAGGGACTAGGGGAATCCCAGAGCCTATAAAACTGTGCCATAAAAAGAAATTAATAAAAAAAAAAACAAAGAAGTGTATTCAACTATGGCAATATGTAGATTGACAAGGGCATTGCAAAGCGACAGGATATGGCTTATGCAATGCAGTGAAATAATGGAAGAGTATTTCTTACTAATCCCTAAAATTACATCAGAACAAGTTTAAGTGTTTTACTTGATGCATTTCTGTGATATCTGCCTACTTAGACTGGATTTTCTGCAGAGAAACGTGAGTGTAGCAGTACGTGAGGAAGCAGGGAAGGCTCAGCTTCTGAACGTTGCTGATGGGAGTACAAAAGGGTGCGGCAGCAATGGAAAGCACGTGAAGGTTCCTCCAAAAATAAAATTAGAGCTACCGTTGGGTTCAGCAATCTTATTTTGTGGATTTATACCCAAAAGGTAGACATCAGGATCTGGAAGAGATATGGACAACCCAGTGTAATGAGGGAAATTCACAACCGTTTAACTATGTAAGGGATTGGTATTTAGTCGTAATGGCACTGCTGGGGGCTCTCTGAGCTCACACAGGAGGCCTGGGCTTGAGGACCAACTGCACTCCAGGCTTCCCGCTAATGCACATCATGGCAGACAGAAGGTGATGGCTTGGATGGTGTGTCTGTCACTCAGATAGGAGAGCTGAGTTGTATTTCTGGGTCCAACTTTGGATTTTCCCCAGCTCTGGTTCTTGCAGCATTTCAGGAACGAACCAGGATTAAGAGCCCTCCTCCTTTCTCTTTCTGACTATTTCTGCCTCTCTTAGTCTCCATGCCACTCTTTCAAGCAAATAAAATTTAAAAATATATGGAGGCAACCTAAATATTTCCACCAATGAACGAATGGATAGCAAAGTATTGTATGTAACAACAATGAAATAATATACAGCTTTAAAGTGCAGACAATCCAGTTATTTCCAACAACACAGTTGAACCAGGAAAGGATTTACGTAGGATAAGCCAGCCTCTAGTATTCTACTTACACAAGAGTTCTTTTAAAAAGTGCACATTGTTAAATAACTATGCCAGAATATTCAAATTGTCTTAATGTAAATTTATGCTTAAATTCCATTTTTCTATAAAGTGTTTGCAGTGACATTATATGAGCAATAGTAGTCCGACTTAAAGAAAGAGAACAGGCATGTGTTCATCAGTAACCATGGAAACAAAGGGGTTTTTTCCACTATAGTAGGAAATTCCATTCTGGAACTCTATTTATTGTAATGGGATAAAATGCCAGTGTCCCCTACGGGCACTGGATTATGTTCTGGTGCTCCATTTGCAATCTAGCTTCTCAACCCGTAAGCACTGGTACACAATATAACCATTGTGTCCAGTTGCTTGTGTCCCAGCGGCTCCACTTCTGATCCAACTCCCTGCTTATGGCCTGGGAAAGCAACAGAGGATGGCTCATGTCCGCGGGCCCCTGCATTCATGGGGAAGACACAGAGAAATTTCCAGATTCTTGGCTTCAGATTGGCTCAACTCTGGCTGATGTAGCCATTTTGAAAGTTAACCAGTGGATGAACAATCTCTCCCTGTTTCCTTTTCTGTCTGTAAAACCTGCTTTTAAATAAAAATAAATACATCTTAAAAAAAAAAAAAACCTGGAAGTTGTGAAACTTCTGAATGTTTTCCACACATCTAGTAAACAAGCAATAAAAAGTTTGGATTTTACAGAAAATTTGACTGAGACAAATCATTAGTTTTTATTCAGAATATTCCCTGGACTCTCAGAGGTTTAATTCCAGGAGTAACATCTGTCACTAATAACCCTTAATCCTACTGAGATTTGCTTTGAACACAGGTCTAACTTGCCTGCTTGCTTTAAACATGACTGCATTTTATAACTTGGGCAGATCCCAGAAAGTTCCTTAATCAGAGGGTGAGAAAACAGATGCATGTCAGAACCTTAAGTCAGTTCTGCCACTTTGAACTTCTTTTAGTCAAGAGGAAATCAACAAAAGTCTAATTTCAAACTGAGACCTACAAATTACAGACAATTTAATCCTTACAATTAGGCTTTGTTTGACTTTGTCATTCAGCCAGGAAGAGGAATCTGAAGTCACAGCTGTGAAAGAAGACGTTTGGCAACAAAAAGTCTTCATGGTATTTCTAACATCTATCTACTGACTGTAGGTTACCCCGAGGAAGTCACTGCATTTCTACTGCTCAGGTAAAACATTGTTTCCAGATTTATAAACACAGATCAACTGCACATTCCCTGTCATGGGCTCTGGGACACACTTTACTTTTCTGCCTGTTGTTCCCTAAAAATTAGTACATGCAATCTTTTCTCGTGTTACTAGTGTAGTTTGACCCTCGAGTAACTTTCTAGAAGAAAGACTGATGGATTTATTTTGGTTTCCCATACGAATGACAGGGACTCAACTACTGGAGCCATTATCTTCTCCTTAATAAAGTGCACATTTACACAATGCTGACATCTGTAAAAGGAGCCAAGAATTGAATCAGACACTCCAATGTATGATATGGGCAATTTAATTAGTAATCTAACTTTGGCTTAAAGGTCTGCACACTGATAATTCTGTTTTATATAAGTTATATAAAATACCTTATGCATTAACCACAGAAAAAAAACAGTATTTTCTTTACAAATACTTCCAGAAATTGCACTCATCATCAAACTATTATGATACTTCATTTACATTCAATTGTTTGCTCATTTATTTAACATATGCTAACACATGCTACTTATATATTTCCAAGATGCAAGGCACAAACAGTATGGGCCTGTGAATAATTATTTAATGTTTCCATTACAGCATTACAAACAAGATTTTTTTTTAAAGACTTGTTTATTTTTTATTACAAACTCAGATATACAGAGAGGAGGAAAGACAGAGAGGAAGATATTCTGTCTGATGATTCACTCCCCGAGCCAGGAACCTCTTCTGGGTCTCCCACTAGGTACAGGGTCCCAAGACTTTGGGCCGTCCTCAACTACTGCTTTCCCAGGCCACAAGCAGGGAGCTGGATGGGAAGTGCAGCTGCCAGGATTAGAACTGGGACCCATATGGGATCCTGGCTCATTCAAGGCGAGGACTTTAGCTGCTAGGCCACGCCGCCGGGTCCACAAACAAGATTTTTTAAATGACCTTAAAATTTGCTTGACTGATAAGCTTTCCAAGTGATTGCTCTGTATCCAGAAAATCAGAAAGCAAAGATGGGGAAGATCTAGAGAAGAGCATACACGTGTAGTCACTAGTTTTGTCACAACGATAAAAAGAGCTTTGTATTTCCCTTTGAACAATTACTCCAAAATTAGAAACCAGTAGCATTATTGCTATACAAAGTAGTCAAGAATAAATTGGAAGTATGTTTCGTTCTCTGGAAGCGCAGAGAGTAAACAGATTAATTCAATATCTTATGTAAGGCAAATCAGGTGAGAAATGTATATGAGTCATTAGTTTTCAGCTGAGCTTTGTAGTTGTAGAGATTGAGGGACAAAAATCTGTGTGGAGATATGGGGGAAACTCAGCTGTTTTACATGGATACATCGAGGCAAAGAAGTGGTGAATATGCAGCTCCCTGCTTGTGGGCTAGGAAAGCCGTCGAGGCTGGCCCAAGGTTTGCAAACCCGTGAGAGACCCTAAGAGTCTCTGAGTTTCTGGCTTTGGATTGGCTCAGCTCTGGCCATTGAGGGGTGAGTTATAAGACAAAAGATTTTCCTCTCATCTTACTCCTCTATGTATATCTGACTTTCCAATTAAAAAAAAAAAGGTGGGGAATATTTAGTATGGTAGAGTTATGATAAAGGGACAGAAATAAAGCATTGATTTATGCAAAGGCATATAAATAATATCTTAGTGGAAATAAAGTATTAGACTATGGCATAAATGATTTTCAGAAATGTATTGTGAGATAAAGCTGATCTCAAATGTCATCAACATGATTTGTACATTAGTGTACACTTTTTTTTCCTGTGCAGCCCCAGACTCTCAGGAAATGCCCATCAGAAACAGCACTGCTTTTACAGAATTCATCTTACTGGGGCTCACAGACTGCCCCGGACTGCAGCCTCTCCTCTTCGTGCTGTTTCTGATCATTTACCTCGGCACGCTCTTGGGAAACCTGGGCCTGATGGTGTTAATCAGAATGGACTCCCGCCTTCACACACCCATGTACTTCTTCCTCACCAACTTAGCCTTTGTGGATTTGTGCTACGCCTCTAATGCCACGCCACAGATGCTGGCTAATTTCTTATCGGACAAGAAGACCATTTCCTTTGTCGGCTGTTTCACACAGTGTTATGTGTTCATCGCTCTTCTCCTCACCGAGTTCTACATGCTGGCAGCAATGGCCTACGATCGCTACGTGGCCATATGTAACCCCCTGCACTACAATGTCAGGATGTCCAGGCGGGTCTGCATTGGTCTGGCCACATTTCCTTATGTCTATGGCTTCTCAGATGGGCTTTTTCAGACCATCCTGACCTTCCGCCTCGCCTTCTGCAGATCCAATGTCATCAACCACTTCTACTGTGCTGACCCACCGCTCATCAGGCTCTCTTGCTCTGACACCTCCATCAAGGAGTACGCCATGCTTGTATCAGCTGGCTTCAACCTCTCCAGCTCCCTCGCCATCATCGTGGTGTCCTATGCCTTCATCCTCGCTGCCATCCTGCGGATCAAGTCAGCTGAAGGCCAACGCAAGGCGTTCTCCACCTGTGGCTCTCACATGATGGCCGTAACCCTGTTTTATGGGACGCTGTTCTGCATGTATGTAAGACCTCCGACAGATAAGACTGTTGAGGAATCGAAGATAATAGCCGTCTTCTACACCTTTGTAAGTCCTGTCCTTAATCCTTTGATCTATAGTTTGAGAAATAAAGATGTCAAACAAGCCTTGCTGAAAATCCTCACACGTAATAGAGTCACGGTGGCTTCCGTGTTTAAACTTTCTCAAAAGACTTCATTCTGAAAGCTTAGCTGACGGGGATTTGCATTTTGGAGGTGAGAACTACTATTTTCTCTGGATGTCTTGACATCCTCCGCGAAGTTTTCCAACTAGGAGAATGTGGCTGTAATTCAGGTCTTGCTTTGCCACATCTGACACAGGTGTTACCTGTGAGTTTTCTGGGCTTGCACGATCGCACGCCATACTCCCCATTCAAACCAGTGTTTTGTTCAAATTCTCAACTGACTCATAAGCACATTACATTTTGAGAAGCGGTGCTCTCACTGAATAAGCAATGGACCCTATTCAAATGAAGCATCTATTTTTCTCAGAGAATTCTCTTCCCAGTGAAGTTTAGGAACGTGATGTTGATCCTTTGCTTTGTGTGCTTAGATCTGCACATGGACCCTCTAGATATGCAGTGGAAGGGATGATTTCATAGAGAGGAGGAGATAAAATCTGCAAAACCCCAAAGAAACTAGCAGACTTTCCTCCCAAGATTTTGTGCTGAAGTAAATGATCGACAGGCTAAATGACAGTTATCCCTTTCGTCAATACGTATTCTGCTTGGCCACAAATGTCAGGTGTTTCCTAAAGTATTTTCTTGAAAGACAACTGACTTTTCAAAATACATAAATAAAAGGCATAAAATATGTGTATCAATGTATGTTATGTTGCATATAAAATAACATAGGTAAGATATTTACATTTTGGTAATTTTGTTTATGCTAGTTGTATGTATTAAAGGAGTAAACTGTACTCCCAGATGAGCTGAAACAGTAGAGTATGTAAATGTATTGTAAATTATCATGATATCTCACAGCATGCAAGACAAGGACCAACTAGATGTTAGGAACTAATTGAAGTGCAGGACAAGAATATTTTAAGAAAACTCCAATTTCATTGTCTATTTCATAATTGTTTGCTGCCAAAATGTATAATAAATGCATTCAAATATGAAGTGTGTTTTATAACCTTACTAATTTCTCTTATTAATTTCAATAAGTGTATTTCCTTTTTTGTCTTACACATTCCCTAAAGTTACTGTGTGGTATCAGTTCAACAGATAATTATGGGACCAGGTGAGGTAGCCTAGTAGCTAAAATTCTCACCTTGCACAAACCAGGATCCCATATGGGTCCTAGTTCTAATTCTAGCAGCCCTACTTCCCATCCAGCTCCCTGCTTATGGCCTGGGAAAGCAGTCGAGGCATAGGACCCTGCACCTGTGTGGGAGACCCAGAAGAAGCTCTGGGCACCTGGCTTCAGATCAGCTCAGCTCCAGCTGTTGAAGCCTCTTGGGGAGTGTATCATCAGACAGAAGATCTTCCTCTCTGTCTCTTCTCCTCTCTGTATAGCGGAATTTCCAATAAACATAAATAGATCTTTTTAAAAAGTGGTACTTATGACATTTACATCTTTAATTCCCTTATTACAGTGGCTTAGATGTACAGGACAATGCTGAATAGTAGCAGTACGAATGGACACTCATGGGAGCCAGCGCCTTGACATAGTAGGCTCAACCTCTGCTTGCTGTCCTGGCATCCCATTATGGTGCTTGTTCGGGTACTGGCTGTTCCACCTGGAATTCAGCTTACTGCTTTTGGCCCAGGAGAGCAGCAGAGGATGGTTAAGTACTTGGAGCCCTGCACCAGGTGTGAGATCTTGAAAACCCTCTTGGTTCCTAGCTTCAGATCAGATAAATTCTGATTGTTTTAGCCCTCTGGGGAGCGGACAAGTGGATGGAAGATCTCTCTGACTCTCTATCTCTCTTAACTTTGCCTTTCAAATAAAAATAAAGTAAATCATTTTCAAAAATATGCTCAAACCCTCTTCCTCATTTTAGAGAGATCTTATTTAATACTTTGTTAGGTTACTTGAAGTTATAGAATTTTCATGAAGGTATTAGATTCAATTGAAAATATTTTCCTTAATTAAATTCTCGGTGATAACATTTATCATTCATGGACACAAAATAGTATAAAATCTCATTTCTGCGTGTAGTATTTATCTTACAGTTTCCACTGCTTTTTAGCTAATGTAAAGTAGTATAAATACATTACATTTCTGAAATAAAATCTAATAAAATTGGGAATAATCGATTCTATAGTTTATTCATGGATTTGATTTCTTGAACACTGTTAAAGATAGATTTTATTCGTGTTTGGAGGGTTATTGCTTTATAATATTTTCTTGTGATATACAATGTTTTGTGATATTTCATTTTTATTTGAAAGGCAGAGTTTCAGAGAGAAGAGACAGAGAGATGTCTTCTATTTGCTGATTCACTTCCCAGAATACTAGTTCTGTATTCTTTTTCTGTTAAGGACTTAAAAGTCAGTTTGAAAAACATCAATATGTCAAGATGTCGATTATGGTAGTTGGGCTCTCCAATGTCAGGCAGAAGAAAAAGTTCTTTCAGGGATACAATATGTTCTGTTATAATTCAACATAATTGTGGGAACACATATGACGATTGCTAACAGCAATGCCTACCTGCTTTCTCACATGGAGATTTTCCTCTCTTCTTCACCTGGTAAGGTTATCGTGGCTTGAAAGTTACCATCTTATATGCTATATTGCTAGGCTTACTTTACAGAGAAGTTATTACATGTTTTTATTTTATAAATAGAAGTTTTGATGATATTATGCTACAGTCAACACTGTGGTTGGAAATCAAATAAGGTAGTGAAAAAAAAAAGATGATAAAGCAAAACCAACCTTAATATTTGTATCAATTCTAGGGAAGCTTGGAAAGGATTTTTCATTCTTTATCATCATAAGGTCTTTTCCATGGCTCTGCTTATCATATTCAAAGCTGATGGTTGTTTTCTACTCTGAATGTCCCTGGTTACTTTTTCTGCCTCCTTTATGGCATTTTAAAATAGATTTATTATTTCATCTGTTTGCAATTCAGACTGTGAGTACCCTGAGGGAGGAACTAAGGTGGATTTAAACTTTGAAAACTTTGCAGGTGCCTATAAAGTTTCAGCTTCAGTGTATCCAGCTGTTTCAATGTTTTTGGCCTTGCTCTCAGACACCTCACACCGTTTCTCTTTCCACAGACAACATCGATGACAAAACAAATCTGAGCTCTTTCAATGGTTTTTCTCTGTAAATGTTGTTGTTCAGTCCTCATGGAGCTCATTTGCTGAGCTGGTGGTGATAAGCATTTAAGAATCTTGAGAGAATACCCCCCAATGGACATGATTAACATAGTTATTAGAAGAATGATGCCAATGATTTGAAAAGCATAATGGAGCTGTGCTCTCGAGAGCCAGGAATGAAACAGCTGTGTAGATTAGACAGCCGTTCCTTTAGCTGGTGGACTAGGGCTCTGTCTCCTTTCATATATCTTTGATTTTGAACTAGAGTCCTTGACTTATGGACATAAAATAGTATTCTGATATGATAGCTTCAATTGATCAGATGTTTCTAGATTGCAATTCCAATGCCTATGTTCATGTACTCAATTATTCTAGGAAACTATCTGGATGGTTCACAAACTAATAGGCATGAATATGAGTGTTCCAATGAACTATTTTTTCTTGAGGTTTACTTCCAGTAACCCAAATTCAGGTCCTAGAGTTTAAGGCCCAAGACACGCTGGTTCAAAATGATTAGAAATCTGTTTTTGTCAAAGTTTTTTCTATTATTCTCTTGCAATCATGTTCCATAACTATTTGCAAAAGCATTCAGGAAATCACCAGAATAATAATCACTTGTGAATGAAAAATAATTTGGAATAACATTAAGAACTAATAATAATAGATTGAGATGAATATTTGGTTATGTCTGTGATATGCATTTTAAGATACTAACTATACTTATAATTAATATCAGTATATCAAGCCTGTGTCTGGGTCACTCTGTCAAGCGGAAGTTGGAGATCGGTCCCCATCATTCAGACACCTGCACTCACAAACTGAAGCCAAATAAAATTATTGTAATTTTACTTCTCTTGCTTCTCCTTCTCACTCTAACAGCTACCTAAGCCATTCACAAGAAACAGACAACCATTTCACAACGCATTGTTCTAGCTTTACTTAGTAATTCAGGAGAGAAATAGAGAAGGGTGTGTCTCTCAAATACCCTTTAATTAAAATGACAGAGGAAAAAAAATAGAATAAAATCAAGAAACTGGAAGCTTATCCTGTTGGTATAGAGAAAATGATGAGTATACCAGTGCCCCATGGCATTCTATTCAGAATTTCACCTGAACATTGTTTCCATATCAATTACATTGCAACATATAAAACCAAAAGATGATACAATAAAGTTAAAGGCCAAAATAAAAAAGCAATGGATAATTCCATATCAAGAATTCACATGAATTTGGTTATTCTTTTCCACGTTTAATTATGTTCATGTAAGTAATGTTTATTCTCTCCTAATACGTGGCCTTTTTATAAGTGTTGTGGGGAGATGTGATCTGGGGGAGGACATAAAATTGTCCTATCCTCTCAAAAACCTGAGACAGCAAAATTGATTTGCGTGCAGGATTCAAATTAAGATTTTTAGATTTATTTATCATTTATTTGAAAGGTACAAATAAAGAGAGAGGAGGAGAAACAAGAAGACAATCTTCCATGCACTGCTTCATTCCCCAAATGAGCACAATGACAAGAGCTAGGCCAGACTGAAGCCAGGAATCCTGAGCTTGTTGCGGGTCTCCTGCTTGGCTTCAGGGGCCCATGCACTTGGACATTTTCTGTTTCTTCACCGGGTGCGGTAGTAAGGCATTGCGTGGGAAGAGGAGCAGCTGCGACTGGTACCCATCTGGGATACCAGCACAGCACAGCACAACACGGCGTGGGTGGAAACCCAACTATGCTAAAATGACAGCCCAAATTCTTCTTTAAAATCAAAACACGCCTCAAAATACTTAATGAACTCTCATGCTCCTCAGCTGCCAAGTATTTCATCCTTTCTTTCTAGGTATACATATCCTATACAAACTGAAATATTGTCTGTATGTTAATATGTATTTGGGATGAACATAAAGTGAGATCTCTTCTCTCTTAG